ACAATTGCAATAGAGATGAATGATAGATACTATGACAGCAATGATTGACAAAATGACAATTGATAATATTATGAAATTCATATAGAAAAATAACAGTAAATAAACACTATTGTTGTTTGGGTGTAGCTGCAGATGTAGAAATAATTAATGAACAGCTACATCAAGAAAAGGAACAATCACTCAAGGTAAAGTTGTGTAATGATATTTTCAATGCTAATGACTGCATGGTGTTTACTGTTATCTTGTGGTATAGTTTAAAAAAGATCTGTCAGAGGCTCTTTTAAATGCAGARCAAGAAAGAAATCGCATGAGATCTGAGGTATTGTTAKTGTAGAATTTTTCTGATAATCATTTTAAAATTTAATGTTTTCACTTTTATAATGAAAATCATGCTTGATCTCAATCAGATGGAAAGGCAAAGAGTAGCATTGCAAAATGAAATGGAATCGCGTATCCATGACACTAGAAAAAGCGTATGTATATTATTTGCTTTGCCAATATTATGATCAAATCTCAATTCTTGTCTGTTGTTGTTGCTTYTTTTGTTTTCATGAACTGATCCAATCTTAGATCATAWCAATGATATTTAATACCAAAACTGAATTGAGCATTTATGGTGTCTCTTGATTCTGGTGGATTTGTTTGTTCCTTTAAAARGATAAATTGTTCATCATCAGACTGTTCAATGAAACCAAATCAAGGCCTGTTAATCTTGAGCATATAAAAGGTTTCTCACAATAAACAATTAAACCTCAGTATATTGATTCTAATTTTGTCTTTCAGAGCATCAAGCAACCAGCAAATACTGTTAGTAAATAATCATAAATATCAAACATTTAAAAAATATAGCCCTAAACCAATGATAGACAGCTGAAACATAAAATGAATTTTTAATTCATAAAAAAATTAAAATCRTTGAACGATTGAGTGATGCATACTGCATCATGATCATCAACCGTGCATGTTTAAACAGCATAATAATACAATGTAAAGAGWTGAAATAAATGCAGTGTGGATGAAAGTAAAACACTGACACAAGATTTTTAAGCTTGAAAAAAAAATTAAATTGTTAATTCAATTTTGGAAGGGTTGGGATGACCAAATGTATTTGATATGACACTGATGATTAAAACATCAGGATGATATGTGTTGCTATACAAGGTCAATTGCCTGACCTATCATTAACACATTTTACAATATCTTATGATGTTGTAGATATATTACTCATCATTTTATCAGTTTTCATTATAGAATATGAATGTTTCACCTCACTAAATATAAGTACTATATGTTTGCCTGTAGCTTCTTGCTGAATCTCAGAAAGAAGTGGAAAAGCTAAAAATGCTTCATGACCAAAAGTCCAAAGAAAGAGACATGCTAGAGCAACAAAGACTTGAACAACTTTCCAAAGTTGAGGTACTTTATGATCAAACATATATAGCATATGGTGTTGTTATAGTGTTTTGGTATATTATGGAGGATAAAGTAGTTAGATTGATAGGCCATATAGTACTAGATRTATTAGATATATATATCTGGTAAGAGTAGTTATCAGCAAGGTATATATGAGGGATGTTACATAGTGTACAACAAGGCAGTTCACTTGCACTAAATAATGTGTTGTACTAATATATACTTTGCACATACTGCACTACTTGYACCACTAGCAACCTACCATAAACTACAAGACATATAAACCTGTTGCACTTTGGGTAAGCACTACTACCATCACTATTTCTATTATGCATGCACTAAAATAATAATTGGCTACCAGTAAAACTGCACTAGTTGACATAATTGCTGAATGGAGATTACAGCAACTTAAACCAATAGTTGATCCATTATTTGATATGCAGAGTCAATATTTTACAGATTYGTTCAAAATATATGACAAAAACGAACGTCTTGTCCAAATTTATAAGAAGTCACGTTGTTGTTTCTTTTCAAATGTCTSGTGGAGTGTTGAATCAGCAATTTAATTGAATTAGAGAATGTGTATTGATCGTCGTGTGGACGACTCTCGACCAATGAGAGCAGAGGATATATTATGATATATTAATAGAATTAGTGATATTATCCTGATGTTTGCTGTATTTCTACATCATTTCCAATAGCAAAAAGAAGACATAAGTGAAAGTGAAAAAGACGAACTTTTGAAACGTCTTCAAAAGATCGAAAAGAAGCAAAGATTCGAAATTACAAGGTACGAAGTACGATTATCACTCGAAGGAGAAAAAACATAAGGGAAAAACTCKATAAAAAAATGACAAAAAGTAAAATTTGCATTGTTTCAATTTCTGGCTTTATAAAATACAGAAAATATACAGAATAAAGTACATTTTGGAACAYAGTACATCGTGGAAAGTAGTTTCCTTTTACCAGCTATAATATGTACACCATACAAAAAAAGATGTACTGACAAAACGTTTTGCAAAATTCGCCTTTCTTCAGGAGCAGCCGTCGGGGTCTGTTCTTCTAATTAACTGCTCCTGTACCAATTTTTTTTCTGGGAAAGGAATTTTCACAAACAAATGTGGCACTCTTCCTTCTTTAAAATAATTTTGTTCCTGCTTATAACGTTGTTATGGTCCAAAAAGGCTAAAAATGTTTTTAGTTAGGAAATTTTTTTTCCTTGCAAAAATTCTTAGAAAGTTTTCCTTGCCTGGAGAGTTCTTTTTCCTGAATTTCTCGCTGGCAACCAGTTGTGACTTACAGCTGGCTGGGACATAAAGAACAGATATATTTCTACCTTTAACCCGTCGGCTCCTCCTATTTCTTRTATTCGTCGCTAGTTGAGTTGTCTAACAAAGGCACTAAGTACAGTTAGCTTTTGATTATTGTGTTTAGATTACAAAAAGAACTTGATAGGGCCAATAAGACTTGGGAGATGAAGGTCACAATACTTCAACAAACGTAAGTAAACCAAARACAAAACACCAGGTGTTAGTAGTTGATCTCTTGTACTAACAGTTTAATTAATTGTTTTGTATGAGTGTAATGAATACCCTTTTATAGTAAACATCAGGTGCTTAAAGTAATAAAAATGCTTTGTTTTACTAGTATGCATGCTATCAGAGATGAGAGTTTCTTAAGAACATCGTTACAGAGACAAGCTGCCAAGCTGCAACATGCTGCTGTAGTGTACGCGGTAAAGACCGGCACAGCTACTTGTCATATTYAATCACTGTATCTAATCCTAGTGTTTACTTTTAGAGCACTGGGCCTGCTGTTATCCCTCTAAGCACTCCTCACAGGCCGTCCAAAACCTTGCGAACACTGGTAACGTATTTTACTCCTTTACTTACTAGTCTTTTGTTCTTTATATACACATTAATCAAATGTATTTGTCAASAATAATGCAGGCTCAATGAGATATGTTTATTCTGCAGCCCGCCATAAGACCAGGTCGAGTAGAGGGATTTGGCAAAATATTAGAGGGAAAGCGTATTGGTAAGATACAGGAGTTTGATTAGCCGCTATTTAGCTAGCAAGTATTAAAAAAACTTAGTCTTTTTGTCATCGTAACCGGCAAAGGACAATCCAACCAGGGAACCCATGACGTCATGAATCCTACAGACAAGTCAAGCTCATAAAGGCTTTTGTCTTGAGAAAAAGAGCTTATTCAGTTTTTAGAGTTTTCAATAGCCAGGATTCGGTATTGAAGTGCGACATTTTTAGCTTTACGAGGCCATTTTGGTGGTTATTGTGATCATAGTACTATAATGATCCAGGAAAAGGATATAGTAACTTGTAACGTTCTTTATTTTGTTGACAGGAACACCATTCACTGAAGATCGTTATTCACCACCACCAGTTAACGATGAAGAGTGAGTATGATATTCTGATGTAACTACTATCGAATGACATCAGAGCGTCTATTTTGTTTGTTGCACATCTAAATAATATCCATAGAACAAATGCATGTTTGAAGGTTGTTGTGTGTGTTTTTTGTTTTGTTTTGTTTTGTTGTTATTGTAGTTGTTTTTTGTTTGTTTGTTTGTTGTTGTTGTTTTTTTGTACAGTTCTTTGAGTGAGATTGCATATTCTCGCTAGTAATCCACTTATCCCAGTCATGCTTTGCATGATATGATTATACCAGGGGTAACAGTCTTGTCGTTGTTTTCAGTCAACAGTCAGAAAACCAGCAAAGTRAAAGCATCAGCATTACAGATAATCCCGTCGCTGTGGCAAGCAGTGCATGACGGGATTGATCGGGTTGAGATATGTAAATAGACTGTASTTTTGCACTAGTATTAAAACAATTAATTTATATAGTCTAGCTGTCTCGTGTTACTTTACTATATGTCCAGTAGACAAACACACTCAACAAGTAAATGTGAATGTATGTATTACATATCCAATGCAGAAATTCAGTTCATTCTCTTCAATCGAAGAACTATTCTAGGAATACCAACAACATCCCGCGAGAGTTACGATAGACCTCGTTGCAGAGAATATTAGTTTCTATGGATTGTATAAAGACCAATGATACTATAGTAGTTAATGGTATGGTTCCCGTGCTGAAATGGTATTAATAGTTTTGCCTTGTTTTTTTTGTTACTATATTTGAATGTTGATTGGTTGCCTAGCATGGGGTTGGTCATTGCTGGTTTAGCAACGTGTGGTCTTTGTTCGACTAAAGGCTCACGGAATTCAACCATCTTTGGGAAAGTCCTTGATCCAAGTAATGGTGAAGCGTGAAAACTCATCAAATAATGAAAAGAAGCGACGGCGACGACGAAGGAAACTAAGGCTTACAGGGTTAAGTAAAGAAAGACAGTCAGCCAACGCAAGGGAAAGAACTCGAATGAGAACTATTAGCGATGCTCTTTTACGTTTACGATATCATCTTCCAGCAACATTAGTCCCAAAAGACCAAAAACTCTCCAAGATCCAAACGTTGCGTTTAGCTATTGATTATATCAATGATCTATGGGAGGTCGTACACTCGCCGACCAGCAAGATAGACGACGATGAGCTATCTACGGACAGTCCTTGCTCAAACACCATAGTAGACGATTAGCTACATGTTGTGATATGGTCAGCATTGTTCAAAGACACTACGACAAATTCATCCTACTATAGCCCCACACCGAGCACCCAAGACGTCGTGTTCCATGGTAGTATTATCATATAGCGTATACTCAAACAGCACATTCATTTTGCATACCCTGTGTAAATTTATTCATTGGTTATTGAATTAATCAAAGCTGTATTTCCGGTTAAGCATTGTTTGTGTTAATGGAGTGGTAGRAGAAATGGATAGATTGTGCAAGTAATAGTAGTTTACGGTACACGCGAGTACGTGGGCTTATCAATKTGTCGAGCTATTCATACACCTGACTGATAAAATGTTGTCGAGTCTTCAAAAAGGTTACATCAAAACTAGCATCGAAATAGAGAAAGCAAATAATATATTGTGTGTAAAATATTGTCTGTATCGAATAAAAATTGCCATGACTCTACGAGTAACGTTCAGTATAATGTAAGAGTTTGAGTTTCCGAGTACCCAAAATCCCCTTGGGTCTATTTTCAATGTAGTCACCTTTTTTGACCCGACGTTTTTTTCAATGTGGTGTATAGGTATAAAGGGAATGCGTCTTTTATACAGTGTACAGTGCGTCTTCTAAAGTATCCCAGTGTACAATGAATTGATAAAGATAGTGTTTTTGCAGTGCCTAAGCATACATTAGGGTCGAATGATCTCTGGAATCTCCCTGAAAGACTCGGATTTCAACAAGAGCTATTATKTTGATTTGAAAAGGTTCACATGTCTYTCAGACATCTTTCTTATAGCACAACAGGGGGTTAGTTAATGTCAATATCTTAACACGCAARCCATCCAATTCTCTTTTGCTCATTATGTTGTTGCTGGTTCAGTTCGCGTTTTGAAGCGTAATATTTGTATCACCTAACTTTCTTAGGAATAGCGGATGTGAAGAGAATTGTCTTCCAGACGTTTAWACTTGAACTCCAACACAAGCAAATCTTGATTGTCCCGCCAAATCACGAATGTTGCCTGAGGCCACAATTGACACTGAACGTGCAACGTGTTTTCTCTAAAACCACGACATATATACACCGACTCGTCTCTAGCTATCTCGGGAACAGGGACGGTGAAGAAAGAGGTTGGGGCTGTAAACATGAGATTGTTATTTTGTCTGCACTAGAATCCTAGAATATAAAGAATTAAAAGAACAATTTTCCACCGGAGATTAGATTGGATTACCTGTGGTGACCACAGGGGGTGGATGGGTGCAAATGCTAAGCCGTCCCTGAAGTCTACTGTCATTTGCAATGGACCAAAGACACGTGATGGAAGACCAACAACAATAATAATATTAATATTAAAAAAAAAATACGGGAAACAACCAAAGGACCATCGATTAAATTTTCTTTTTTTTTTTTGTACTTAATAGCAATAGCAATTGATACAACAATAATAATATTGATATTAACAAAAAAATACGGGAAACAACCAAAGGACCATTTTCTTGTACTTAATAGCAATAGCAATTGATACATACGTGAATGAGTTAATCAGATTAAGTCGTATTATCAGAGTATTATCAGTGTACTATGCAACCATTATTTACTAACTACATCATACAATAGTTTTATCCCATTTCCCTATTGCCTTTTCATTGCTAACATCTACATGAAATAAAGATAGAGTTTTTAATGAATAGCCGTCCATGATTCACTCGAGAGCAACATCCCCAATATTGTACTGCAGAGCAAGCAAGAAAGTTATACTCATACCTGCGCTCTGTGAACAGAATGTTATTTACCTTAAYTCTGCTCGAATAGTAGTCTCAAACATGCAAACTTAATCAAATGTTATATTGTCCTATAATAACCCCATAACGTCAAATAATTAATAATGGTCTTTTTATTTTCTGTTCTGCTTCTTTCGCAGTAAAACGAAAGCGCCGTTTGACTACGTCGTGCAACACGTTATCACGTGATGCATTGCCCATATAAGGAAATGRGGTTGTWTTCGACTATCCCATCAGGAAATTACCCTATAAAAATAAAATTAGTTATTAGTATAGTATGACGAATTTGTTCTTGTTTTGAGAGATTTCCATGTTGGGATTAGGAAATGGTGGTTCGTTATATATAAATGCTGACTCTGCTGGGAATAATAATCCAATAATTTTATTTTTTGTATTTAGCGCGAAACTAGTTTCATATATAATCTACTGCGCTTGGTCGGATTTCCGAGATCAGTTTAAATTAGAAAATTCAAGCGTTTTMAAACTAATGGCTATAACTAGACAATTTTAGAATTTTCTGCGGTCTCTCAAAACTAGCGGTGTAACAGAGATCAGATAGCTCGCTGTACGGCATGAACGTTAATTAACTTTATTTCCAAACTAATCTAATTAATCGTCGATCGTAAGATATAACCATGGGCTGTTTAAGGAAGTCGGCAGGGGTCGCGGTTCAAGCTCCTTGCCTATCATTGATCTAGATGTAAAATAATGTCCTTTTGTGACTGACCATAGTTTTGCACTCAAATAACCATTATCAACAAACATTAAACGAAACGTAATCGCGCAATACTAAAATATACGTGACAATCTCGTTTTCAACACTTGTTAGATCAACTCCTTCAATGACATCAGTGTAAACTAAATGAATTGCTAAAAACAAAAGGTTTCATTCAACAAGGATCATAAGCCTTGTTCAATAAATCAAAGAAATCCTCCATAAATACAAGGTTTTCACACTTGAAGTTTGTTCAAGATTTTCTGAATAAAATATCGTTTAATTAAGCTTGTTCAAAAGTACTGATTCGTTGTTTTTGTTCAGTTTGACTCTTTTTTGTTCAATTTGACTCTTTTACCAGAGAGCTGTGTGTATATTATTAAATAGATAAACAAACAAGTTCATTAAAAGCACCTGGAAGATTTTGAATTGGACTTTTCTTTCTTTTTTTGTCTTTATAACATATGTATTTTGTGTATGAATAAAGTCATTGTAACTCAGGTCAAAACTTCGACACTGTCCAGCATGGAATAAAAAAATAACGGACGATTGGTTTTCAGAGGAGTTTTAGTTTATTTTAGTGTTGTTTTTGAGTTTAAATGACGACATGAATGTCAGCCTTTTATGTAATTAACAGGAGTAGTGTGTCTTTTTTTTATAACCACCAAGCACATGGCTTATCTAAAATCTTCCTAGTTTAACACCACGATAACTAGAGATCTCGTGAAATTGGTGAGGTTACATCATCATGATGATGAGGCGATAAGATTTCCCAAAGATCTTTGTGTGAACAGTCATTTGTCATAAGCTGCCATGTCGTGGACACACGCGCTTCTGTTTTAAAGACCTGTCATTATCCGCTTAACGCACCAAGACGCGGCAATAAGACTATGGATTAGTTGACATGCAGCGATAGTCGTCATCACACTATACTACTATAGCCCAGGGGTAAAGAACTTCCGCAGGCTTAATCACCAAACTCTTCTTCATATGATATCGATCAATATTTAACTGGTAACGAGTTTTACCTACTTATCATACAGGACCTTGGTAAATCACTAAATGAAGAGTTTTCTTTTTCTGACTACATAAATCGTTATTGTGTTYATTAAAATAACTGAATTTATATTAAACTGTTTAACTAGCTCCAGCTGTTTCGAGAGGAATCATTAAGTAGTCGGTTAGCATGTAATGACTCTCCGCTWACAGCCTTAAATTCTTACTAGTATAAAACAAGTAAAGATTTTGAACACTTATACTTCACTGAAAAATACAATCAAGTCAGGATTTTATYTATCGGTGAAAATTMCAGTTTTAACGTCATGTTTATGTACGAAGCTTTCTTTTTTATACAATTTATCGACACGTCATTCCAATCAAAATATCGAATCAATTGTTATAGAATGCTTWACCTTACACACAAGAGCTATTTGTTCACACCTCTAATATTTCTCTTTCTTATACGTTTCGATATAGTTATTTCTTTTACATCAACGACGGTTTGAAAAAAAAACTTGTTCAGCCGTAAATCATTTTGTAAATGCTCCTGATCGACAAGAAGCACTTGTACACTGACTGTAAATTGTTTGGTTAGAATTATTCACTAATGCAGTAAGCGAGTATTGTAACAAAGATCAAAATTAGAGATTCGCGGAATATATTTGAAAATACGGATATACATTTACGCAAAAGCAAGGACTACAAAAAGGCAATTACATGTGAAACATCTAACCATAGAAAAACCTGTTTCTCTGTCTAAAACAATAAGACTTTATTAAGCTATTTGTTATCATACATGCTTTGTTTGATTTTTAAACGTTGKGMATTTTTTAAGGAAAACGATGCTTACCTATACGAGGAGGCTAGTTTGTTTTCTTTGGTTCATGAATGATGAACTCCTTAATACCTCATACAAAGTATTGTTTATGAATTGACTAACATCGTTTTTTAACGAGCCGATTTAATTGTCCCAACAAGCAATGAAAATATCTCAGCAAAATAGCACAATCGACACACCATCAATCATCTCTTCCTTGGTCACTTATAGAATGCTTTGTAGAGTTCATGAAATATACGTGATGTCTTTTATTTCTTTGTTCATCTTCAGAATTTTTACTCTCAAAATACTAAGTCGCGCGAGTCCAGTTTTGATGCATACATGTCGATAATTTGTCATCTGATATTAGTTGAGACTCGTTTGTGAATTGATTCAGTAGTAGCTCCAAAAAAAATGTTTTTTCGTCAATTCAAACATCCACTTAAAGAAGAAAGAAAACCAATACATTTTACATTTGCTAACTTTTGAGACAAATTCAACGCAGAAGCATCGAGTGTGTTTAGTATTGTTTCCAAAACGTGACACCTTTTCCTTCTGAAATGCGTCTTTCTTAACCCTCTTGAAGTAAGAAATGTTTGCTGTATTCGTCCAACTCGAGTTGCTGTGGTATAAGTGTTTAGCATAAGAAAAGCTCAGTGATATTATTGTTCATTTAGTGTGTTTGAGTTAAGTATGGAAATCTTAAGCAGTTCWAAACAACACGATGAGCTAGTCTTGGAATAATTATTCAAACTAATGAGTACTTGTGAGATCGAGAAAATGCATATCCAGTTATCTTGACCTAAATTTATCCTTTGGAAAGAGTTTTTGATGAGATAAAATCCATTTTCTTTTGTTATTCTCGATACAGTTTCATACAATAAGTTAGTCTCTCATTTGGTGAATTATGGCAGGATGTCGCCAAACAATAGCAACTGACAAGGCACATATAAAATAATTACCCAGGCGTTCTCAATTCTCATTGGTTGAGAGAACGCCCAAAAGTGGCTATAAGCCGGACTTGTAATAACCGTGTGCCAGATACACATAAACGATTGCAAAACCTATAAGTTTCTTTTATAAAATATTACAGTCTTGGGAAAATTGATACTCTTCCATGGAGAAAGCATTTTTTGAAGGCCAAACTCAGATGCCAACGCAGTTCACCTATTCCATCCAAAGCCCTGATGATAATAGCTTAAAACGAAAAAGACGAAGAAAATCCCCAAATCAACAAATAGCCCAAAGACACGCAGCAAATCTCCGAGAACGAAAACGTATGCAAAGTATTAATGAAGCTTTTGAAGGCCTTCGAAAACATATCCCAACGCTACCGTACGAAAAACGACTTTCCAAGGTGGACACATTACGCTTGGCAATAGGCTACATTGGATTTTTAACAGAAATGATCAACTCTGACATGAGTCATAGTCAAGCCTTACAACCTTCAAGAACAGAACAACCACGAAAAGTCATGATATGTCATCGCGGATTTGGTGAGAAATTGTTTTGTTATTGTTTTCTCACATTGAGAAACCATTTTGCTCACTTTTGCATTTCTTCTGTTGGTGAGTGCATTTGGTCGTGCAGACGTTGGCGAGAAAATACCTGATTTAGCATACACATCTCTGCCAGACATTATATATGAATAAAAGAAAACGACGATATGAAAAGTGCATATATTCGTACTTACRCTGTATGAGAATGTACGTTTGTAAGAGAATTCATTTATCTTTATTTTTATTTTGTATAATTWAGAGATGTATGGGAAATTTTTGTACGTCTGAAATATTATCCGAAAGAAAATCTATTACATAGTTGCATATAATATGTATATAGTTTGACTGGTGTCGTATTCAATCAATGTGTATAGAATTATAAAACCTTTGCTCATTTATGCTTTTGTATTATTGTAAACAGCTTCACAGAATGAGTATGGACTTCCCCCGTTAACAGGCCATTCATTGTCATGGACCGATTCGAAAAAGACTAAAGTAGTAGCTTCAACGATGACAGCCAAGATTTGGACGCCCGAAGACCCTAGGATGGACAATCCAACTCTATTCACAACAACGTTATGAACGTTACCCTTTCAGCAAATGTTAATTGTATTTTAACAAAGTTCAAATTATTTTTTGATAAAGAAAAAAATATACAACACCATGATATATCAGGTGGATTGACACTTCTCAGTGTTGTAACTTCCTTGGTATCGTCATAAGCCTTAATTGACGGCTTGGTTAACATAAAGCGAATGTAAAAAAAATCCTTGTAAAAAAGCCTTGTAAATAACTTTAATAGTCACTTTTCATAACAAATATTCGTATACACAATGTATATGGAATTCAGTTTTTCATTAAAAAGCAAAAGGAGCGACGAGGAGTCAATAATTATTTTTAGGTGTTTGTGATCTTTGATCAGTTCACTATCATTTATGTTGTGTATAGCCGTGTGTGATCATGGGAGATTTCAAAGGACACCAGGGGATATATCTATTCGTTTATGCTCTTGTTCATACATGCAAATGAGACATTAATGAGTTTATACTGAGGTCTTTTGTTTTACATAATTTGAGTCCTTGATGTTCTTGCTGAAGTTTAAACTTTAAATAGTGTTAAAAAGCAAAAGGTTTATGTGTTGATGTGTTTTTCTTTGTGATGGTCGAGACCCTGTGTTTGAGGGGACATACATCTAGAGTGAAGGGTGTCGCAAGTTTCCTATTTTATCACCTGAGTGCTATCAATCATCCACTAACTTAACCAAAGGGACATTTTTAGTACATTTTTGCTACTACATGTTTCCTAAGAGCAAGTGTGTTACGACTAATGAGTTCTCTTCTTCAAACCGTTTTACTGTTACCAACTTTCACACGTGGAACCATATTTGAAGAAAAAACATCGGTGTTTGAAGTATGGGTATAAAGCAATGACCTCCCCAAAAAAATCACTTATATCATAACAATGAATAATCGAACATTCAGTAAGTAATGCTCAAGAATTGACCATCCCACAATGGGACATGGTTAATTAAATGGTATCTTCTTACATAGGGGGGCACGTGTACCTCTAGGTCTCACCAAACTGATCATGATAACCTAGATATACGCCCTGATTTTCTAATGTGCATTAATAGGCCCACTTTGTCTCTAAAGCTAAATGGAATTGTGAAAATGATACACTCATTTTACCAGTTGTTATCGAAGGACATTAGGTTTTTGCAAACATGAGGCGTTAGCCCAGGCAACAAGAGGGGAACCAATAGTTGCACACYTAAGAAGATTCCCTACGATTACACCTTAAAGGCTCGATTGTGTGCGTCAGTGATGTCGGTAAGCTCTTTTGTAAAGATTAATCTAGTGTCCGTTGCTGGGTCTAATTGCCTTCTCTCCCATCCCAGCTGCAAACATGTAATTGTTTAATAGACAAGCAGCAGCTGCGGGCTGACTTTTCACGACCAAGAGCCATTAATAGAAAGATGGAACAGGTATTATGTGCACACACGCTCTAGAATTTACACAATTGGCAGCAACCTGCGCTGGCATGAATGGGTTTTTTTCATTCAACTCCACTAGGGACTATTCTGTGGAGACAGGCTATGATTGGTTCACAAACGACACATGATGTTTGTAAAGGACCGTCTGAATCGGGCACTGCTTGGTCTGATATCCTTTATTGTAAGCACCTCTAGCTTTGTCTTAATTGTCATCCTCCGTACCCATTCAACACAGCCAAGCACTTTCTTTTCAAGAAAAATCACTGAAATCTCTAATTTTCACTGATTGTATTTCCCATTAAGAACTTGGTATCCCCAAATGTAGGTGATTTTGACGAGTTGGGGGGCTGAATTTTGAACAAGTTACTGCAGCTCTAGCTTCTCATCTTGATTAAAGGTGTTACCACGCCATGCAGTGAATTAGATTTCTTTTGTTTGTAGAGATTTAAATAGGTGAAGCAGATGTTTCTGAGCTTTAAAATAAACCATGAATGAATAATCAATATGGCCAAGTTTGGCCAGGGTTTCTCCTTTCGTTCTCTGCCAAAACTACGTCAAACACCTCACAGACCACAGAGGTACAAGGCAGGAATGTGCCAAGCCTAGGTGAAATGCCAACAACATTTAGAGACTAGCTTTCAGCTATTTTATCGTGAATTGTTTATAACGTGAAATATTTTAATTAACGCTAGAATAGTAGAAGCATTGTTTAAACATAATGTCAACACATTGACTGTAACACTCAAATACAGCGTTTAATGCCCACTGGAAAACTTCAAATATGGACCACGTTGGAACTTATTGATTCATTAGGCAGCAATGTTTTTTTATTATCGATCTAAAAGAATGGAGAGATACGTCTCAAAAGAGCTCTTTGTTATAATGATACATTTCCTAGTTTGAGATTTCCCCAAAACGTGAGGATCTTCCCATTGTACAGCACACAATATTTATGCAGATTCAAACATTTCTTTTGGCATTTCCTCAAAAATCTCAGTGATGTACTTAACAATAACGCTTTCTTTTGTGCATATTCAATGAACAAAGTCGAACACTCGCTGACCTGCCTTRACTGCTACACGGAAACACCTTTAAAAGCCTAGAATTTCACATCCCAGTGTCCTGCGCATGCGCTGTGTAAACTTCACAATTTCCAAACAACTGTAGGGACGTTTGAAGAGTCATCTAACTTTATGCATTTTTTTAATCGACTGATTTGCAGCTGTTTTCAACGTGTTCCAAACATAGAGAAGCAAGACTCCCCTCTTGGCTTTGTTTAACTCTTTGACCAAGCATCAGTTTGTAGGCGTCAGTCAAGTCTCTCTATGAATATTTAATGAATAAAAGAATCACTTCCAAGATTTGCATCGCTAGTTTGTTTTGAGGGACGATTTGTGATGCCAATGATCCTCTGTTGACCGGTGATTGTACCGGACTCGGTAAATCGGCAACACGTAACCACCACTGCCTAGAATTCCCAAAAGTTTTCAGGAGATATTTCGTGAAAAGTAAATTTTAGCGTTAAAAAGCGGAAATCACAGCCATTTTTTCGATTTTCAGAATCATTCTATGAAAAATCTAATGCAAATACAAAAATATCCTTTCTTTCCACATTCTATCTAGGTATACAATTACGGGGGCGAATGCTTACAAGTACTGGTAAATACAGCCTTTATTTCGCTTGTTTTCGTTAAAATGGCGTTTTTGGCTTTAGTAAACATAACGAAAGATTTGTCTTTCAAAATTTCTTGCCGGGGAAAAGGCTGATAATTTGATTTTATTTGGAATCCACACAAAGATAGGAACATAGCATCTATTATACTCTTACAGTCGCTATCTAGTGATACACAGTTAGCTATCTTTGCGCTATAAGAGATACAGAAGAAGACCACGTGTATCATAGCTGCACTTCACTCTAGAATAAATGCATACATTTTTAGTAAAGGGCAAAGGTGACTGCCCTTGTTGTTCACATGGGAAATACATGAGCATAGAATGGGGGATTTCTGTGATCAAAGACCACTTACACGTATGATGGGGGAATTTTTCGGACATTTTCCTAAATTGGTCGCATCACTTTTCTACTTCAATCTCAGGCTGTGTGCCTTGATGTGATAAATGTTGATCGTGGGTTAAACAAAGAACTGGATATTAATAAGAGCTGTTTCGTTAAGTCAAAAGAATCGATGGCTTATCGCGTTACCGGTGGCAATTAAAGAAGTACAAATAATTAAGACTTGGGGATATATTGAATACAAAGCACCTCTAGTGAGTAACGAGATATCTTTTTAATTTACACACAGAAAAGAAATTAACAGATGAAGACCAAATTAAAATCTTATACTTGAAGTCAAAATGTAAAAATCTAATCAGGCAAAACAAAAAAATTGTGATAATCTGAACCACAAACAGTAAAACAAATCAAAAATATGACCAAACATTTGTTAATTATTTATTTTTATTTTTTCTCTTTTTTCAAAACGAATGCGATTTAACTGAAGATGTATGATTAGAAATATTACCTTCCGCGACAATACTTTTATCAGCCAATAAGTTTTTCAAAAGTTTCTAGTAAAATAGATTTGTAAATCACTCGTCATGTTCCTTTGAGCATGTTCTTAGCCTGAAAGATTGCATTTTTTCCTATCACGACTCAAGTCATCATTGAAAGGTTCTCGAGTTTCCTTTGAAGTCTTAATACGTTAAGCAGCAACATTATCGAGTTTTAGCATATTTTATTCTGTCTAAGTGGCCAATGTTGTTGAGTTTTCACTGAGAAAGTATGGCGGCCACTTCACTGTAAAGATTCCTAGCTTGTTGAGTTTTTCTATAGACGATGGGSACATTCTACTGTAACTAGCCAGATGGATGGTGGTGATCTTTTTTCTCTGATTCATATGTCCAATATGCTAATCACAAATAAATGCCTTATACAACGCAATGACACTATTCTTGTTATTTCGATTAATGCGCTCTTCATTAATAGCTATTTGTTTGGATCATGGCAGCTGCTAAACTATCACCGAGTACCGTGGGAACATCACATATGGTCCTATCGTGTATTAATGCTGCAAAATGCGACTTACTTTTGCTAAAAGAAAACAGACAGTAACTGCAAATCATAACCATAACATTGTTTCGTTAAAACTATTAAAACACATCTAAAATCACTGGTTTGACAWTCATTTGGAGGMTCAAGTTTGTAGGGGCGTCAGTGGCTTACTTTCATCAAGATGACACAATATCATTCCCAATACAATTGGTTCAAGACTTTGTTTACTAGTTTTGTTTTACAAAATCTATTGTTAATTTTTGAACTATTCAAATCATTGAGTCCAGTAGGTCAAAGAATTCTAGTTATTCCATAATTACAGACAGTTTACCTCCACTAAAGAAACGCTCTTTTAGTCCAATCTTAGCAGTTGTCATTAGCAGCGGAAACAGTCTTAATTTGTTTTATTCAAACAAACTTACTTCAAAACCGCCAACGATATGAAGTTTAAACGKGATTTTAATGACGACGAAGTAGAAATGGATAAACAAGAGTGTGTACATATTTGGTCTGGTTCTAGTATACCGATGATAAATGCATACGCGTTCTTTTTCTCACAAAACTTGTTTACCCAAGCAACCTTATTCTTCTTTTATTTTCAACTGGGAGGTTGTCGGCAATAGACATTACAATCTAAAAACATCAAGACTCCCTTCTGTGCTCTGAAATTGTATAAAAAGACTAGTAATCATTCTTTATTGGCGGTGATTTTGAGTGGACAATAATGACTTAGTCTGTGAGAGAAAAAACTGATACATCAGTCAGGTTATCACTTTAATCATAGACTCAAGGCCGACCACTTTTAGTTCAACGCTTCCGCCTGACTGAATAGTACTAAAAGCTTTCGCAAATAAAATCATATTTTTAGACAGAAACTATCTCATATTTTTTAGATAGAAACTAGATCGCTTAATAAAAGCAAGCAAGTCATCGTTGGGTCGTCAATTAGATTTTTTCAGTCGGCATACAGATCGAAGTTGAATGCATTTTGACCGACAATAGTTCTTCGTTTAAACGCTCCATACTTTACACAGAAAGAAGAAATCTGAAAAATTGACCGTAATGACTTGTTTTGTTAAATAATATTCATATTGACTAACAAATTACTTGATCTCAGAGATATTTTGATGAGTGGTTTTCATCGAATTCGTATTTTATTTTAGTTCTGTAAAAGTTAACACGTCATTAACTCATCTTCGTCATTTAAAATCTTTTTAAACATAAAAGGTTTTTTCTTTACAACAGATCGGAAATCATTGTGTTATGAATAAAACCCTTGCTTTCATATTCATATGACTTTGTAAGAAAGAGCGTTAAGTGAAATTCATAAATTTCTCAACTCTTACTTCAACACATTTACACCACTCAACATGAGTAAAGCAAAGCCGGAAAACCGCCATGAATAAAACACACCGCATATGTTAGTTTCTCATGTGTTTTACTTAAAAGAGAGAAAAAAAATACATTTCGTTTTATTGCCGATTTTTTTTTACCGTTTTCTGAAAAGGAATCAGAGATAGAGACGTCGAAAATAGAATCCTTTTTTGATCAATGGTTAAGAATGAAAAGGAGTGTTTCTATTCAACTGTTAGAATCTACTAATCGGAAGAAACATGTCATCAGTATCTCCCTGTAAGGCATGAATATCTACTAGACAAGATACATCAGTTGTTGGACAGGTGCGTCGTGTTTAAGCTACAGTGATTACAAAGACAGACCGACGGATACTTTCAATTGGACGTCATATTTCCTACTAAGCCTCTCAAGTCTATATTTTTCTAATCGGTATTCCTTGACTAGTTGACAGACATTTAATGAGTTTTTGATGGAAACATCCGATAGCACAATCTAAGACTTGACAAATATTGATTCGACCAAGAAATTCAAGCTGTATTTTCTAAAAAATCAATTAAGGTGTAAGCGAGCATTGTTACTAATATTCGGGTAAACTCCAACACGTAGAGTTGTTTTTTGTTTAGTTGTTGTCATTGGATCATTCTTTTCCTGCTGTGAGTGCTGCACGAAACAGTATTTCACAAATAATAAAAAATATAACAAAAAATACTTAAACGCGGAACCTTTAACACCAACATCAAAATAATATTGACCTTATGAAACGCAAGTCAATTAGAAGAAAATTGTCATGGAATATTTTAAAAGATACCGAAATATTTTCCAATTAAATTACGAAGACTAATAGAAAAAGATAATAAGAACAAAAGCAGTGAAATTCTTAACGTCGTGTTGTGCTGCTTTAGCAACAACAGAATTGTTCGTTAAAAATCAAAAACTGAATGGATAAATGAAAAAAAACATGCTTTTCCTAACATATATGAGTTGTTTTTTTATATTGGCCTTACAATAAGCTCTAAATCGCCAAATCTTTCTATAGCGGAGTCTATTATTCGTATCAAAATAAGCTCAAACATACGACTCAACACATCTCTTACATTGAATTATTTGCATAAACCAGGCAAATCAATGAAATAATTTGACTTCAGTTAAGTATTATTTGCAATGTGTAAAAACTAAACCAAAATTCTATGAAAAATCTAGACGCATCCACTTTGTCGATAAAATGCAAATAATCTTATTTTCAATGCCGTAGAGRAAAAGGAAAAAAAACAAATTGCCTCAAACCAATTTAAAAAAAAAATTGCTACAAACCTCAGTGTTGAAATTTTGATTGTAGTTTTTGACAAGTCTTTTTTTATCCATTTTCGATTCAAGCTAATTGCAGTGGTTCTTCATTGAGGACCCAAGACGGACAGAGTGAAATGAACACAACCTCGAGTAAATGAACTTAAAGGTGATTTCCGAATCTGTTTTATCTGAATTTTGCATCAAGCCGTGAGAATTTTTTGAGAGAAAACGAAAGGAACATATAGTGGCTTTCTCACGGCTGTTATGAATTATCATTTTCAATTATTTCCACAAAACCTAAGAGCAAACAGGCTCCCTGTCTACATCTGTGTACATTTCAAGAGTTCAGATCCAAAATGTATCAATTTCACTCCAGAAAACTATTTCAAATCARATTCTAATTTCAGATTTATACAGGAAACACGAACTCAAGCCAGTAATTTTATCAGGTTATTCTATTTTGTCACTTTAATTGAAATTTTAGGGGAGTACAAGTCAATCAAAAATTCACGAGCTAATTGCATATCTTTAAGTGAGTAGCTAGTCTGTAAATATCAAGAGATTTCCTGTTGTGTTCTAATTGGCTTCCAAGATTCAATCAGTTCTTAATGGACTTTCGATGTTTCTCACTTCAGGGGATAACTCTTATTAGCTCAACGCGTTGTTTTGCCGCATTTATTTATCATCTGCCTTCGCGATTCATTTTTAATGTTTCAGTTTTAATAATCTTGTAATCGTGTCTATTGATGATATATGGCAAAACGGGAATCAAGAAAATCAAAACACTGAAAATAGAAATAGAAAAATCAAGAGTGTTGATAATATATTGTACACTAACATTAAATAAAGCTGTGACAACAGTCCAAGTCAATACAGCTTTATTGGTAGATAGCGCTTCTTCACTCTTGTGGGGCGTGTGAATCACGTATTGATGACAATACAATACATTGTAAGAAAATGTTTGAATTGAACAAAAAAGATGCGATTGTGGCAACCACTAAGTATAGTTATGATAATAAACCATAAACTCAATTTCTTGCGTACAGCACTTTTATCAGTACATTCTACTTATAAAAAAAAATGTTATATTATAGATAAAGAAATGGAATATTCGTTTTTCAAGAAATCGTTACTAGATTGATCGGTATAAATCGATGGTTAATGGCATTACTTGCTGTGTATTTCTGGTGGTATATTGTAGTAGGGAAGGCTAAATGTATCCACTTAAAACAGGAATCACAATAATCTTTAGTACAACCGAGTTGCTGATCATGCAAATACCACAGTATTCATGGTAAACGTAGAATTAAAAATCAACCTCACGTAATTCTTTGTTAGAAGATGTATAAACAATAAATAACATAAAAGACTGAATACATGTGCCCACCCTTACCGCACCATTTGCGTGAAGCCTTGTTCAATCCATTTGATTTAAAACTTACATATTGTTATCTTATTGGTTTCCCAAGTATTGTTCAAAACTATGTATTGTGTTCTATAACAATAAGGGTGAATATCAAGGGTTCTCCATTTTAATGCAAGCTTGTTGCCTATATTTTATGAAAATTACTTACTTCAAAAAAGAGAATGTGAATTTTTGCGAGTGAGAATCGTATCGTTATTCATGCATGACCTAGATCATGTTGTCTTGTCTCATGATAAATGGCTTTCCTTTAATCGTTTGTCGATTGTCCACAACAAAAGCTTCTGTTAAAGACACGCGTTGTCAACTCAATGGAGTTTGTATGAAATCGACTTGTAAGGATGAAGTGTTTGAGAGTTTCGATTGGATCTCATTTGATTTTCAGCTTGGTCAGGATGAAATTGAGAGTGATTGCTATCGTACTGTCTCAGTTCTTTGTAAATGGAAAAACTATATCAAGCTTCGAGCAAGCCTTTAAAATGTCTCAAATTTTACTATATGCTTTTTGTTCTAAATTCACAAATACGGGTGACAATTTTTGTTGTTGTTTAACTGGTACAAACTCTTGACATGCTTGACGTTAGTGTTGCTAACAATTTTAGGTAGACATATGAACAAACAAGGCACCATGATGCTTTTTAAAGATTGAAAACTATGAACTGTGAACGTTTTTTGTCTGTCTTTTGGAAGGATTAGTCTAAATATAGAAATATGTTGAAAAGTATACCAAACTAAAGAAAGAATGAATATTTCAGTACATTTCGTGTTTATACACACAAAAAACAACAACAATAAACCATCATAACTACAATGAAGAAGTCCCATGTGGAAATGCAATAAACTGGAACAAGTATGCCGCGTGAAAAAAAGGCATCCTATTTTTACATTTGATTGGTGTTTCTACTTTTAACCTCTTTTAAACTTTTTAAATTTCCAGTTTCGTGTTGTTTTTCACTTGCTATAATAGGTCATAAAAAGCTATTCAATGCAAGACATTCATCAGTATGCATCACGAGCAATATTCGTGTATCAACAGACGATAATCTTCATTTCCTTTATGGTGCAATGCGTTTCAATGAGTAACCCCATGACTTGCACTATCTTCAATTGATCACCGGCAATCAACCAGCAATAATCGTTGGTACATGTGTTATACGATACTTTGTTTCAAGAGGACCGTAAGTACTC